AACACGCAAACACCCTTAGCCCGTTATTATAAGTCTTGATTATTTGCTCGAAAGTAGTAATTTTCTCACATTTATCCGTCACATATCGAGACTGGAAATTTAGTTTAGAGGATTGATGACGATTACGAAGACGGTGATCAGCGAGCAAGCGCTTGCAGCAGTATATTACCAATAATGCATACTGGACGAAACATATTGTTTGGAGGAGGACCAGCGCAGTCGGAATCTGCTCCCTTGTATGTTTTCTTGATTTTAGACCATCCTGATTCGAAAAATTCACCTACGAACGCAAACAAGCCAGAAATTTTGTGTGCTGGCGTTTTTCGAACTCCTCTCAGCGCTTCAGGATTATCATATTGTAAATTATATTTTTTGTGAGAATTTTTTTTGGCGAGGAACTTCGTGCTAAATGTGTTGGGTCACAATTTTTGCAAAATTCTCCCAGCGGTTAGGTTTATCTTTCTTAAACACGAGTGCGGCAATTGCAGCATTCCCTACTAAAATTCTTCCGTAGTTGTCTTTTTCGATACATTTTCACGGTATCGCATCACTTTACAGAATATCTGGCTCGTCAACCCCTGCTGACCCGTATAACCCACCGCCTTCAACCCATGTTGTCGGTTCTTCTCGAAATGATGAAGTGAACCCTACTCCTCCCTCTATGTCGTCATCCTCAAGAAGACATAGCGACCGCCGATGGGATCATATCGATAATTTGGACAGGGTCAGTAATTAAGTCTAAGTCTAATCAATTGAATCTTTCTTCCTTTGATTTGTATAATTTGTGGAATGGATGACTTTTTAGTTTTTCACACTTGTTTACGAATATCATCAAGGAGGAGGGTTTGTGACAATCGCTGTGAAGAAAGTGCTCGGTTTAGCGCAGTTTGTCTTCGTTGTGGTAAGTGCTTTCTCGTCGTTGTTTTCTATCTTTTTTCTATCTGATGTCTTTGTTTTTTCATGCCTTTAAGTTCAGTTTGTTGAAATGTAAGGTTTTCGACATTCAGTTTATCAAAAAAAATCAGACTGAAACAGTGGTGCCCATTCTGCTCTTTTCTTTCCTCATATTAGGTATTCAATGTGGATTTCATTGCCGTATAATCAAAATCAAATGGGAGAATTTTTGTTGAACTTTTAGTAGGTGTTGCGAGCGTATCAGATCAGAGTTGCTTGGATGCTTTTGTCGTTGCACTTCTCAGATCTTATAAGAATTGTTTTATTTTAGACGTTTTCCACATTCTTCCTGCAGTGCATCGACTATGATGTTCTCTTTGCCAATAAGAATGTTTCAACTACGGGTACCACACTTACGGGAAAACGAAGCTTTAACGTAAGCTTGCTGCGAAATCCTTTTTTCTCTCTACGTCTACATTGACTTGAAGTCGATCCACGTCTTTTTCATGCCAATAAATAGAGCATCTTTGTTTGCATTTTAGGATGCTGTCATTGAAAACTGTGCAGGTCATCTTCATCCGCTCGTAATTCTCTCTTTACTCGTCGCACTGGTTTTCTGGATATCTCGTGTAATCAAGACAGCCTATTATTTGTTGCAGCTACATGAAGTAAGTATCCAAGTTCTACTCTCACCCTTTTTTAGTATTTTTCTAATCTATGTTATTGAATTCAAATGTTATAATTCAGATACAATTGTTTTATCATTCTGCCTTACTTATCGAAGACGCTCAACTATCGAATCTCACATGGCACGCAGTTGTAATGCGTATTTGTGAGGTTTGTCGCAATAGTGTTAGGAAGTTTTTCATGAGTTTTTTTACTTGACAGGTTCAAAAGCGACTTCAGCTGATTGTCGATCGTGATCATGTGTCACCTATTGACTTGTATAATCGTATACTCAGGTTCAAAAATTATCTCGTCGCATTGGTTAATAAGGTAAGAATGTGCTTTTGTAAAGCGATGTTAGTTGAATACGTCTATCTTTTCAGCGAGTCCTACCACCGGTAATCAATGTGCCTTTTGTTGGTTCCGTTCCATATTTCCCCAATGGACTCAAATCTAATCTACGGCGTATCTTATTTTTCGGGTAGGATTGCGGAGCTCCTATATTTATCCGTTTAAATAAAGATTTACCCTAAAATTTAACAGATAAGTCCTTCCATCTGATAAGTCCGCTCACAGATAAGTCTGCTTTTTTGTCTCAGTTGAAAACTTCAGAT